AGTGACTTTCTAGTATATTTTATTCATAGAGAAACCTTAGCCTTTCTTCCAGAACAGTCGATCATTTTTGTGTGTGTGTGAATTAAATGGGATTAAATAAGATCACAGTGTTACCATGTAGGTCTATTCACTGTTTAGCATTTTCACTTCTGGAAGTTTGCCCATCGTAGGAGTCTTGGAAAATACTTTCTGGGTAATTTTTATTTAAAGCTATGCTGCATTGTCAAGACAATTTCCATATCATCAACACACACACACACACACACACACACACACACACACACACGAGAAACAATTCCAAAACTATATTCCAGTACCTACAAACTGCATGTAGCTTCTACTCAACTCTGACTTGGCAAGATCCCAAACATTTCCACAGCTATTCCATGTCAAGGACCTGGAAGAGGTACAAGTAGAGGGGCCCTGATCTTAAACTTCATCAGAATCTCCTAAATCTTCCTTTGAAATGAGAAATCATGTCCCTTCTTTGTAGAATGGGATGTAGTTTAATTTAAATAAATAAATAAAATATGAAATATCTTTTCATCAACATATTTATTTCTCTACTCTACATGCAAAATTACTTTAAGTCAACTTACAAATTAATATGCAGGGTAAGTTAAATAAATTATATATTTCATTTCAGAATTGAAGTTATTAAATAGAAACACACGTACCTCTTTGGGGCCCCAGAACACAATTAGTAGAAGAGTAAAAACTGTTGAATGGAAAGAAGCTGGAACTTGCAGGGAATCGATTGGGCCAAATTATGACTCTTTTGAGAGGGTTGGATAGATTAGCCAGGTTCTTCAGAGAAAACTGAGTAGATGTTTGTGTGTGTAGGTTGCTTTTTGTGTGAGGGTGTGTATGTGCATGTGTTTATACATAAGTATACACATGCCCAGAAAGAATTATGTAAGCTAAATCTGCAAGTTAGCAGCTGTAGACCCATGAAGTCAGGAAAAATCCAGCATCCAGCTAGAAAGAAGGCAGACTGGAGGTGTTCCCAGTCACTGTTGGGAAGGTCAGAATTTTGTTGTATTTAGGCCTTTAATTTATTAGATGAGATATAACTACTCTGGGAGGGCAATTTGCTATACCTAGTCTCTGGATTCAAATGTTAATCTCACAACCACACTGAAAATAATTGACCAAGTATTTGGGCATCCTGTGGTCCACTCAAACAGCCACACAGAATTTAACATCACAGTTGGTCTTTGGGATCTCCATGCTCTCTTCTAGCTTTGGAATATAGTGACTTAAAGCAGCAGGTCTCAAAGGAGAATACACTGAAGAATAATGAGCATCTCAGAATATAGATCCCTAAGAAGCCCTGTAATCAATTAAGTAAAAATCTCTAAAAGAGAGACCTGGAGATAAAGATATATCTGTTAGTCTATCTATAATTTTTAAATTCTTCCTAGCTGAATCTAATAAATTTTGCTAATTCATTATGACTGCATTAAAATATCTTAAATATTTGTAGAGTATTCAGATTATACATGGGAGAGCTACCATACAAGATTCTGCCAGCACCTCATTTTGTACACATTAGACAACACTGTAATATAAATATAAAATCATATCCCAATTGGCTTTGATCATAACTTCTGTAGTATATTGCAAAGCAAATTTGCCTCAAGTGGCAATTACACATTCTAAAGTATATTTCAAAGGGTCCCCTCTCTTGCAGGATGCAGGCTATGTGTCTTTCAACCTCCTGTGTGATCTGTGGGAAAATGCTAGCTAAGTGCTCTTTTAGCCTTCTGCCCGTGATTTCTTAATGCTTGTAAATTATGGGTGCCAGTTAGGAAGCACCCAGCCAGGAGAGGTGCTGGGGATGCTATGGGTGTTCAGATTGCACAGCCCCATATGGGGCAGCTACAAGGCAGTCCTTCCATGTGACTTGCCATGGTTTGTCCTGCTATCCCCAGCGCAATCCTGATGGCACCACATCAAATTGTGCTCTCCAGGGGTGACCAGTGACCTAGGAAGTAGTCTGAAGCATTGGGGGATAATGAGTCACTAAAAAGTGATCAAGACCCAGAATTGGGGTTTGTAACTCCAGACAGCCTGCTGGCAGGAGTGTGGAGATGTCAGGATCCCCTCCCCCAGAGCAGGGGCTCCACACAAGACTGAGTGGTGACTTGGCTTTTTGCACCTTCTTTTTTCCTCTTTTGTTTTCATTCTGGTTGTTGTTTTCTTGTTGTATTTCAATTCTCTGAGTGTTTTTTTCTATTATCTCCTCTCATCCAAAGCAATCTAGCTTTCTCTTTTAGTTTCTGTGTGGTTCATTTCCTGTGCTGTTCTTACACTCTTCAGTACCTAAACCACATTATTTCAGGATACACTAGTGAAATATCCACATATAATTTATTTTACATGTTTGTTTTCATCTGTGTTATCCAACATTTTAATTTTGGGTGAGCTTATATCTTTTGAAAATGATTATAATTTTTTAAAGAATGTGTACAGCTATGGAGTAAAATGCAAAAGAAAAAAGGAAAGAAAGAAAATTCTAACCTCTACATTAGCACAAAACACAAGCTGGGTAGAATAATAGGGAGCATAATAATTTATGTTGCATTTGGTTCAGAAATTCCAAAAAGGAGGAGCAATACCCATTTTTCAATTATATTGCCCATGCAAGCAATTTTATCTCCTTACATACAAACACACCTCTTCAAAACCCCACAGATCCTGAACTCCCACCTTGGTTCCTCGACCTCAGATTATGTATTTTAAAAGTCTAAAAAGGGATGTTTATAAAATAATGAAGGTTATACAATATATGTGAAAAGAATGAACAATTTTCAATTTATCATTTCAGATGTCTGTATGTCCGAGCATTTTTAAAATAAGATGACATATTTTTGATTCAATCTGATTTTTCACCCAGCCATATACACAATCAAAAATTTTGATGTCAGGACATGGAGGAAGAGGTGGGGAGGTGAGCAAACCTTCAGGGAGAAGGGAAGAAGGCAGGTGACCTTGTTCAATCTCCTTCTCAACAGGACAGCTGGTCCTTCAGTTAAAAAGACTAATGCTGTGTACCGAGGTGGATCTTTATATATGGAATAGTCTACACAGAATGTCCCTGCATAAGGTTTTCTGATAGAAAAAAAAAAGAGACTTTGCATTTATGAGGCAAGGACCACTGCAAAATAGCCCACCCAGTGGAATAGAGATAAAAATATTTCGTGAATTCTCTGCTCCATACTGGGTGAAACACCACCAAGGTGTGGGGTAAATTAACTTTCTTTGTAACTTTTTTAGAGACCTTGGTCCTCATTTATTTTTGCCTAATATTACCATTATTCTCAAACTACTAATATGTATATCTTAATTTAATATTAGCTGATTTCTTTCCTTCTATTGTTTTAAGATAGTATTGCTTAAGTTAAATAAATGTTAAAATATCTGTTTTCATCTTCTTTTTAATTTATGTTTCCACAAGTAAAATGGATTAGGAATAGGCTAAATTTCTTTGATGAGTCTCATAATAATCGTAGAGTATATTCAGTCATCTCAGTGTTCTGAGGGTTACCTTGGCAATGCCTATAAATTATCCACTAGTAGTTTAATTAATTCTGACTTATGTAATTTAGTGCTTGTATCATTCTTAATTACATTTGTTTAAAAAGGTCTTGAAGGTACTTATGTCAGCAAAGTGGGTCCCATATGCTTCATTTTTCTTCTGCATTTGCCGAATTCTAATTTGGTGTTTTATCTGCCTTACTCTTTTCCTGATAAGCTAATTTATGTCATACAAAGAACGGGCTGAACAAATTTTCATGATGGATAGGACTTCAGGGATAAAGACTCATTCCAGTGCCCAGGAAAATCTAAAATCCTTAGGGATGCAGAGCAGTGGAATCATCAGGCTAATAAAAGAGAAGTGTAGGATTTCAACTAGTCTCCTCACACCGCAGCTACAGCTGGTGCACAGAACAGACACAAGTAGAGCTAGCAAGAAAAATACCAGGATGGTGTCCAACTCATTTCAGATCCACCACAAACTGAAGAACTTGTGCTCAACACCGGGTTGAGGCACATGAACACAAAGCTCTACTCGTTCTGATGAGGTCTTCAAAATTTCACACCTTGTATTGAGGGTGAACAGGAAAAGAAGCAGGTGTTGGAAAGAATGACTCTAATGATGTGATGCATAAACTGAGGTGCACAGCAAGGTGTGCCTGTCAGGTAGGAGCAGGGAAAACTGCTATGGAGTTCTGGACACAGAAGGGTGGGTGGACCTAGCCACTGGGCAGCATGGACCCAGGTACTGAGCAAGTCCTTCTGTTTGTCTGTTGAAAGCAATGAACGCCAGTGTAGCTAGAGGTTCACATGGTCAGGGAGAAGATGAAGAAGAGCAGAGCACTGCTGACCTGTAACCACAGGGGCCATCACCCCTGTAGATGCCCAGCTGCCCCCCAAGACTCCACTCACCTCCCCAGTGGATGGGAGATCATCTGGTTGGTGAGTTTGAAGGGTAACCTGGACATGTGCAGCTCTATTCCCCACCACCACCACCCATTTCCCTGGGAAAGATATGTGTGTGGGACGCACACACCCTGCAATCTTTCCCCAGAACACAGGCCATAAAGTGACAGGGTCCCCTGGGGTAAAAACAGCTGCATGGATGTAAGGCAAGCTCTTAATATGAGGGTTCAGAATTAGGAAGTCCACGTTCTCTTAAATATAAGCTGAATTCTTCATCATTTACCAATTACAATGAAAGCAGTATTTTAGCCAATGCATTTATTAACAAGATGTCATATTAATAAGTATCGCTGTATTAGATAGCATGTTGACCCCAAATGGTTAGATGCTTATCTATTTTCTTTCTTCTTTTGGGTAAAACACTTGAACGTTTTTCTCAACATAGAATTCAGTGTGGTTCGTCCACTGAGTAACGCACCTGTGAGTTGGGAAGGGGAAATCAAGTGCTCTACTCTGAAGCCTGGCCCATCTAAATCATTCCCACTTGACCTTGTTCCTTTTCCCTAATTTTTATCCTGGAGCCTATCATCCAGCTATGTGGCCTCTGAGAACCCAGAGGACCACAGAGTGGTTGAGAGGAAGAAGACTGCCCTCCAAACAGAGAAGTCAAAGGGATGGTACTTACTTAAAAAAAAAAAAAAAAAAAAAAAAAAAGTCTGTTGGGCACTATTAGCTAAAATTGTGTCACTGCTCAGCAGTTAAGGTAGAAATGAGTGGTGTCATCACTGGGCATCCATCAAATGTCTGCGAGGTGGTTTGACCAGGTGAATTTGCATTTCCTGGTCTCCCAAAGTTCTTGGAAGACAGCTCTTTAAGTGCAAGGGAGGTCTTGGAATGTTTCAAACAAATGTAAAGCTTTAGAAATGTCTCCTTGGTTGGTGGATGGAAAAGGAGTCAAGTAGGTCAGGCGTGGTGGTGAGGAGACCTGGACGGAGACACCAAGCAAGAGATGGTGCAGGCTCTGACGGGGATGGGAGGAATGGGAAGAGTCGGTGCCAGATGTAGTTTGGAGGGAGAATTGAAGAGATACATTAATGTTTTCACTCACTCCTATGGAATTATTTCTTAAGCCCCAAGAATAGCAATGAGACAATGTTTCCAAATTAGCTTGGCTCTCACAACTGTGCTAATAGTTCTCCAGATGCCTATTTCTAATAAGAATCTTCAAGGACCTTTACTTGGTAGGTGTAGAACAGCTTCCCCATGGCATACCTTTAAAAAATGTAAGTGTAAAATTTTAGCTTGTGCAGCTAGCAATTCTAACCTATTTCCACCACATCAGAAAGGTGTTTGAAATGTCAGAGGTAAGATTCTGATGCAGGCTGTGACCATCGGGGTAGCAAGATGCCTTTGCCTCTGAACACAATCGTTCACAAACATTTAATGAAAAGCACTGTGAATTATAAACTATTAGACATTTTATGATCACAAAATGATAGAATATTTTATATTTTATTTAATACAATCCATAAAAGAATAAGAGGTAGAAGCACAGTATTTTCAGGAAAAATGTAAACTTTCAGGTTTTTAGACTGAGACTGATTTAAAATGTTAGCGGTATTCTCATATATGTCAAAGGATCGCTTCCATTATGGAAAGAATAAGAGTCATGGATCTTTAAATGAGTTGTCACAGTTATTTGTAATCAATGTTTCTTGTATGAATATTTGATCCTCTAGACCATAAGATTTCATAGGAATGATCATTTCAGCACACTTAGAATTCGTAATCTAATTCCAAATCAATATGTATAGACTTGCAAGGAAAGAGCTGAATAAGTATTAAATGCAACACAGGAACAGCATTTTGGATATAATTACCTCTATTGCTCATTGTCTTGGTTGCATTTTAAATACTTTCTTAGATTTTACAATTAAATAATTACCATTTCTCTTCTCTAAATGTCAGTGATTTAAGAATGATTTCTCACTAAAGCACACCAGACTTTTAAATACATTTTTAAAAATCTAGCTCGACCAAGCACATCTGTTTCCAGCTCTAACAATTGCTAATCCTTCCATCAGCAGTCCTCAACCAGACATGAATTTGCTTTTAAACTGTTTCTGGTATCCACAAAAGAACTGCTCTTATATTTGAACAGTTTTATGTATACAACCATAAAACCAGACAGTGAAAGTGAAGGTAATTATCAAAAGTTTTGAGGAGACAGAGAGTAAGAAAGAATAATACACATAAAGTTTCAACTCATGCATCATGACACACTTTTCTGAATGTCAATCAACTTGTATCTAGACTTTGAATATTTTGTCCTTACACTTATCTGACAATGCCATTTTAAAATATACCATAAAATCCTTCTTCTGTTATAATCCATTATTAAAAAGAATTAAACAAAAGATATATAGTTATATATGACTAGGTATTCTTATTCAATTTTGAATATTTTTAAATATTTCATCATTATATAAAAATTAAAATAAATGTGCATACAACATTCATACAAAAAGATTCTAAGAATAACATGAGTTACTTGTTAGGAAGTGAAAAGAGATTTTTGTCAATCCCATATAAACAGAACAAACCATTTATGTTTATAAATTTTCTTCATCTATCATAAAAATTCTTTATTCATTTGTTGAGCTTTCTTCTATTCTGAAAACCCTACCACTATTACATATTGTAAAAGCATCACATGTGTATAAATATGTAATTCTGTATGGACATCAAACAAAGAAGCAATTTATATTTTATAATTGTATATTTGTTTTATTTTTCCACCTAAATATTTTTGTTGATTTGTTTAGAGTGAACATTATCAGACTTGCTACCAAAAATCATCTTTGAATATAAAATATCAAACATTTAAAAATATACATATTGCTTTATAAATGAATTGAAACCATGACTTCTTCCCCAAACAGTTGCAATGTTAGTGTTAAATTTCTTGAATAAAAAGGCTTATGAAACTCAGTGACATTATCAAGTCTGCACTGCACACTAGTGGCAAGAGATAGTACATGCATGTGGCCTTTTTAAAAATTAGATTTCAGAACAATTTTTTCTTACATATTAGTTTTCTTAGTCAAATTTAGAATCCTTTAGCATATATAGCATATACACATATTTAAGAATAACATGATTTTCATATTGTAAACTATTCTTCCAGTAAAAGTAAACTGATTAATTGCAAATGTTTGTACCCAGAGTCTCCAGGTTCAGTTAAGTACTTGTGCACATATAAATATCACTAGTTCATATATCCGTGTAAGTGTGTACGCATGTACACAATATCTGAATATTTCACATGCACCTGCTAAATGTTAACCTACTTGAAAGGATTTAGTTGTCAGTATTCTTGCTCATTATTTTCTTTCCTTTGATTTGCTCATTTTTCTTTCCCGAACACTAACTGATACAATGAACACAGAATATGTACAATTACTTTCCTTTTTAATTTTTTTGGGGGGTAGAGTAAAGGATTGAACCCAGAGACACTTTAACACTGAGCAACATCCCCAGTTCTTTTCATTTTATTTTATTTTTATTTTTTATTTTTTTGAC